TCTATCTATCTATCTATCTATCTATCTATCTATCTATCTATCTATCTATCTATCACAGCATTCCCCCATTAAGCTCCTGTCAAGCGAGCTAATGAGGCCATTAAGTGTCTGTGTTGCCTGATATCATTAGCCTCAGCGTCTGTCTCAACAGATCCAACAGTATTGAACTTCTCGGGGAGTGTAATTTGTTTAACCTTTTTGCTTCTCAATCTCACTGTCGGGACCTAATTTTATTTTGCAGGGGGAGCAGGTGTTCTTCATAGTAACGAATTACATAGAGACCCCCAATCAGAGGCTGGGCTTCTGTGCTGAGGTGGGTACACCGAGGAAGAGGAGTCTCATTTTAAAATTATTATTATGATTATTTTGATGTATTCTTTCCATTCTAAAAATTCAGCAATGATTGTACCTCTCGCAGAGTTTCAAGGTGCCAAACGGACGATGTCAAAATGACAGTGACTGCATGGAAGGGGAGAGTGTAACAGCCGGGCACGGTGAGAAAACCTCCGACTTACATCTGAATAGTGGTCAGGATTTAGCATCAGGTACAGGTTCACATATTCATCAGTAGATAAGAATAATATACATATGTCTCATTTCACGAGTGTAGTCAAGCTGTCTTAAATAACTTTGACCACACGTCGTATCTTCTGCTTCAAACGCAGTGCTGTCTCTATTATTACAATAAAGACCCACTCCAGTGACATCAAGTTATTTCACCTTGCTACCACGACCATGTGGTGTTTTTATATGCTATATCATGAGCTAAATAAGCCGTCAACCCTAAAGCTGAGCATTCTCACCTTGAAGCTGCAGTGTTCTGAAAAAAAGCACACATTCAGACTTCCATTCTTTCAGTCCTGTCAGCTTGCAGGATGGAGCTTTCTGCATCATTCTTCTACTTTAGAATTGACTTCTGGGTTGAACATGTGTGACTGAATCAGTCCGACACTAAAAGGTGCCACTGTGTAGCAGAGAGTAGATGCAGACTTGTAGGTGAGCTGGTGTGCTCAGCTGCAGCGGTTAGTGGACAGAGAGGCAAGAACTTTATAACCAACACACTCTGAATGAAGCAGCAGTGGAGCGTTGCATCAAAGCAAATTCAAGGCAGGAAGGGATTAGTTTTGTTGAAAATAAAACCTCTAAATGTGTAACTTGTTTTGTTTCAATGCTATTCTGTAATATTAGACATTTTCCACCATATTTTCCAGTATGTTTTGTGATAGAATAAATTCACTTTAACCCAGCCAACAATCTTTCTCCTCTCTGTGTGTTAGGAATCAAGACCGGCCTGTGTTTGAACAGCACTGGGACGTGTGAGATTCACGCTTGGTGTCCCGTCGAATACAGCAAAAGACCCACGTGAGAATCCCTCCTTCCTGGCAGAACTTTGGAATTTTGCCATTTTGCGCTACTACACCGACACTCACCCTGATCCCTCACACGGACCGAGATATTTCACAGGTTCTATTTATTACTAATGCAGCCTGTCAGCTCCATTTGTTTATTTCACATAGCTGCCTGTCCGCTTTCTTTGACAGGGAACCCCTACTGAGCGAAGCAGAAAACTTCACCATCTACATCAAGAATTTCATCAGGTTCCCAAAGTTTGAATTCTCCAAGTAAGTAGCTGCAAGTGGCTGCTGATTGCCGCAGTGACTGAATGGCTTCAAGGCATCGTGGCGTGGAGTGAGCTGAGGGGGATATACATGTTCCAATGGCTGCTTTAAATAGCTTTAGGGTGCAGAGAGCCCTCTATTTATACCAGACTGTGCATTGCAGTCAGTGAGACAGTGAAACAGTCATTTGAGATGTCCTTGACAGCAGGCCTTGCTCTGGACAGGTGTCCGATCAGATGGGGCTAGCCCAGGGAGCTGCTGCCCTCTCTGCTGCTTCCTGTTCGAGTGCTGCTGCTGCAGCATGTGAACAGGAAGCAGCAGAGAGGTGAGCACTTCACCGCTACTTTCTGTTTCTTCCCTTCTTCTGCTCTTTCACTGCTCATTCAACGCCTGTGCTGATGCAGCGCTTGAACAGGAAGCAGCAGTTTATAGCTGCCGCTGCAAGCTGCTGCTAATTCATCAGTCAGGATGCTGTTCTAATTACACTGACACCTCTCTTATGTTTTCTCTGTAATCTTTATGCGCTTATGCTTAATGGAGATAGATAACACAATTCCTTCCCTTGGGGGTTAGTCAACATGGCTGGCAACACGTCTCACAGCGTGACGTATCCAGTTACACTCTGTTCTGAGGTGCCAGACGGTGTAATTGTGTGCGCTGTAATTGACATGCACATACTGTATATGCTGGATCAGTGGAGTCCAAAAGTCTGACAACACAAAGTCATGACAATCTGACACATTTTCATATTAACAAATAAGCAAACCAAAAAATATCTAAACATTTTTTTAAAAACAAGAAGTTCTGACGTGTTATGAAGGAAGAAATAGTTCATATTCTGCAGTATTTTTAGGTCACCACTCCAACTGAGGTGGACGAACAGCACAGATTCCATCGACTCATCTGACAAGTGTTCAGCTAAATCAACCTGAAGACGTTGTTCACCTGACTCAGAATTTCCAGCAGAACGTTGCTCACTAAGTATGACAGTGGGACGCATGACATCAGAACCAAGTGAAAGTGCCAGAAGTCCGATTGTTATTCTAAGCAAAGAGCGGCTCTCTCAGCGTCAGAACTCGCTGAATGACACGCAGCACATGGCCCCCGGCTGGGACTCAGACTGGGGACCCACTGCTCAGGGTTTATGAGCACGAAGCACTCAGTGAATGGGCTGTTCCACACAGGGAGAATTTGCCTGATAAGAAATCAGCACAAGTCCTGTCAGTAGAAGGTTTTCTAGTCGTGCTCTCAGAGAATGAAAACCGCTTCTCAGGAGGGAAATGAGGATAAAAGGGACTAAGACATAGCAGCATTTTAAGGTTTACTAATGAGTTCTTTAGTCGTGATGAGTCTGGGGCCTTCTTTAGAGTTTGAATAATGGACTCGTGTTTGGTCAGAGTGGAGTTGATTCAGTGCAGATGATGTTCTCTGGTTTGCATCTTTGTGCTGAAGCATTCATTCTGCAGCAGCCTAATGAGGCCGCACACACCTCAAAGCTTTGACTTGAAGACCAAAGAAGACAAATGAGTGCTGACTGTCATGGACTTTAGTCACCTGACCTTCAAACCCACTGAATATTTATAAGAAAACCAAACCTTCCCTGTTATCCCACCATATATCTGAGTGGAGTCCACACATCTGGGCTTACAGAAATAATGATATTATGTAAGGGACTGTAAAAGACGTTGTACAAGCTTTATAACTCTAAGTAGTAACTATGTCTAAAGACCACAAGGTCAAAGCCGATATGAAAAGGAAAGAATATTCTGTGCTTCTTATTTGACAAGGGTCAGATATTTTTTTTCTCTGCTGCAACATGAAAAAACTTTCTTTGAAAAATCTTTTGCATTTTTCACTTCAGCGTTCAGCCTTTTGCATGGATAAACTCAGAAATATATGAATTTAATTGCAAGAATAAGACTAGTTTCTGCAGTTTATGGACATTTATTTCCTACACGTCTGCCGTCTTTACCTCTCAGGTCCAACGTCCTGGAAACCTCCGATGAGAACTACCTGAAGAGATGCTCCTACGACAAAGAGAACCATCCTTACTGTCCCATCTTCCGCCTCGCAGATATCGTCAGCAGCACTGGAAATGACTTTCAGGACATGGCTGTGAAGGTACAAAATGTAATAATGTTCCAGTTAAGACTGTGTGTGGGAGTGACTTCAGTTCCTGCCTTTCCTTTTCACAATAGGCCATAATAGACCATCGTGTTTCTGAATTATGGAAATCTACTTGTGACTGCAGTAATAATTGCGCAATAACTCAAACCAACAAGGTAATCATACTTCCTGCTAACAAGGTGCTGTGTTGCAGAGAATCAAAACAAAAGCAGGCCCCAGTGTCTCAGTCATCTATCTGTGATTGTGGAGGTGGAAAAACAGCTCTGAGAAATGGAGGAAGACAAACTCCGGTTATGATTGTGCAGGCAACAGTTTGTCACGCCGCCCTCGTTCTCTCTCCGTGGTCTCTGTAGAGATCCCATAACAGACACATGTCATGAAATCACACTAAATTGACTGATTTACAAGGAGATGGCCGACTTGCACCATAAAAAACTGATTTGTTTCTGTGGTTAGAGGGAAAATCTGTAATTAGCCTAAATGTGGAACACAAAACAAAAGCATCCCTCCCTACATGACGACAAAAGACTGTGTTAACAAACCACAGGCTCTGGGCTGAACTAGCTGGTTAACAGCAGTTTCACACAAAAGTCCTTCTCCAAAACAGAATCCTGCATATTTATTTATTTTTCCTTTGCCATATTTTGCCTTTATTGAACAGCTGAGGGCTGCAAGGTGGCTCGGTGGTTAGCACTGTTGCCTCGCAGCAAGAAGGTCGCTGGTTCGCGTCCCGGTGAGGACACCCGGGATCTTTCTGTGTGGAGTCTCCATGTTCTCCCCGTGCAGCGTGGGTTCTCTCCGGGTTCTCCAGCTTCCTCCCACAGTCCAAAAACATGTTGAGGTTAATTGGTGATTCTAAATTGTCTAAAATGTGAGTGTGCTTGGTTGTCTGTCTCTAAGTGTAGCCCTGTGATAGACTGGTGACCTGTCCAGGTGAACCTGCCTTCACCCTGAGTCAGCTGGGATAGACTCCAGCCCCCCACGACCCTAGTGAGGATTAAGCTAATGGATGAATGGATGGATGGATGAACTATCATCAACATCATTGTTTTTAAAATACAAAAACAGAAGGATATAATATAGTGCCTTAATCAGTAGATACAGTCATGAACAGAAGTTCCCATACACTTGTAAAGACCATGTCTATCATGGCAGTGTTGAGTTTTCAGTGGCTCCTACAACTCAGACTTTTCTAGGATGAAATGATTAAAACACATGCGTCTGTGTCATAAAAAAAACAATCATGCACTTTGGTTCTTTCATAGATTTTTTTTTACTGTGGATGTCAAAATCTGCTGGATCAATCTATACATACAGCAATGCAAAGATTTGGTAAATGTCTTCTGGCCATTTTCACCTTAATTAGGTGCTTTTTAGTAGCCGTCCACAAGCTTCTGGTTTTATCTTTGACCACTCCTCTTGACAGAATTAGTGCTTGACTTTTTTCTTCTGTACAGTCCATAAAATGCTTGATGGGCTTTGATGTTGCTGAAATTAGATTCTGATAAAGCTCATCATTAGTTTACACAAATACAGTCCTTCAACAACATCCATCCATAATCTATACATCGCTTAATCCTCACTTTGTCATCTTAAAAATATTTTAACAGTTTATTTCTACGTATTAGATGCTCTGAAATCGCCATACACGCTTTTCAGCTTGATTAAATTGTGATTTTTTTTCTTCTGTTCTTCACATGTGGTTTAAATAAACGTTCATTGATTCAATATCTTCCACAAAAATGTCCCAAAACTGATTCACGTCTCAGTCAGGCTGAACTTTATTACTTTAATTAAGTCATGCTGCGAATACAAAGGTAGTTTCACTGAAGTAAGACTTTTAATGCAGGACTTCGACTTGAAAGAAGTATTTTTACATAATCGTGCTGGCTCTTAGGTAAAGGATAGTTTTTCTGCTATCAGGGAAGCCGAGCTATTTAATTACCTACCATATGAACTCAGATGTGCAAAATTAGTATTTTCTTTCAAAAGGCTTTTAGAACGACGTGATGTGCTTCTAACTTGTACATATATGTTGCGGTATGATGTGTTTATGACCATTTTAACATTTTGTTTAAAAAGTTTGAATTCTTTTTAGGCGGATTGTAACACCAGCTTTCAGCAAATGGACTTATTCTTGTTCACAACGTTTGTACTCCTCAGGGCGGCTCTGTCGGTATTCTGATCGAGTGGAAATGCGACCTGGATAAAGACGCCTCTCAGTGTCAACCCCGGTACAGCTTCTCCCGTCTGGACATGAACTTCAACAACTCCATCACGTCAGGATACAACTTCCGGTTTGTCCTCTTTAGCCTAAATAAATCTGTCAATCCACTCTGCTCTCATCTGATCTGGTTTCATCTTTTATCTGCTAAACTCGTTTCCCCTGCAGATATGCCAGATACTACAAGGATGACAACGGTGAAACCTACCGCACCCTGTATAAAGTGTATGGGATTCGCTTCGATATAATGATCAATGGCCAGGTACAGCGGCAATATGAGCAGTTTTTTCACAAGTCAAGTCCATGTTTCTGGTCACAGGCTTGCAGTGAATGTCTTGTCATTGTTTTCCAGGCTGGGAAATTCAGTATTGTTCCCACAATAATTGCCATCGGCTCTGGTGTTGCTCTGCTGGGTATAGTAAGTAATTTAATCAAATATTCTGTTGATGTGTCAGTGATTAGTCTGCAATTACTGAGACGGCTTACGTTTTGAAAAATGTCATGTTACAGTGCCACCACATGTATAATCATCAGTAACAACAGTGATGATTTTCTGCAGCTTGTTGACGGTGTCGTTTCTTACAGGGAGCCTTTGCATGTGATATGATTCTGCTGTACATGATGAACACGAGCTCCTTCTACAGAGATAAGAAGTTTGAAATCATCAACTTTAAGTAGGACTCACTGTATTTGGGGCTTTTGAATTAAACATTTTATGAATGTGGCCCATCACACTGACACATCTCTGTCATTCTGCGTGCATCAGGAAAGAAAATAACAAATCCAAGGATGGGAAAGCAGGACACCGGGAGAGGAGGTCCAGGAAACCGGCGGCAGACAAAGAGGCGGCCAACTCCTTAAAAAAGTCAGACGAGACTGAACTCACTGTGGAGTCTTCTCTTGGCGCAGAGAACCGGCCGTCTGTGGAGAAACGGGGTCCCACCATTCCACGCAACACAGGACAGCGATACTCCGCCGTTCTCTCCCCCCAGGGCGCAGAGCCGAAGCATCACATCACCTTCTCTTCACACAATTAGGTTTGCAGGCAGAGCAGGACGAATCTCCTTGCGGTGGCCTCGGCTACGCTGCAGGAGGTGGAACCAAAAGTCAGACTGATTCTCACCTGCTGGCACGCTCACTAGCATGAGTGACGTTTGCCCCGACTGGAGACGTGTTGGTCCAGGAAAATGTTGTGCACCGTGAGAGAGGGCCGGGACTCTGATGTTCACAGGAAGGTGGCTGGGTCAGGATTCAAAAGGTGGGAGATTAAAAGAGGTCCATTCATAGTCCTGTTCAACTAGCAGAGCGACAGCTGTTATAAGAACCAATAGATAGCGATAAAATAGCTAAAACTTGAAGTGAATTGTCAAATATTCCCCATGCACAGTCGTTCAAAAAGTTTAATCTGGACCAGAATGATCTGGATTTGGTAATCCCATGTTTTGTGGAGGCTGGATTGGATCACTCTCATGCAGATGCAAACTTTTCAAGATCACCAAATGTCATAGCTCTAAATGGGACTAAATATCACAGTGTAGGCTAGCAGGAAGATTCACTTTCTTTTAAACAGCCAGACCCCCCATTAGACACGTTTTAAATAATAAAACATAGCGAAATGTCCAATAGGTAACAGAAAAAGAATGTTCAGAGTTCTACTTTTCTTTTTTGACCAGACAATTTTTTAAGGTTTCATCCAATCTGATAGCTGAAACACAGTCACATTGCTTCTGACCAGTTGGGCTCCAGGTGCTGCTTCATGTGGTGGAAATAAACTTGTTGAGAAAGAAAACCAATTGGCCAAGATTTGTCTTAATAAGAGTTCGAGAGCAGATACTGTGTGTGAAACAGTTTCCAAAGGTGTTAACAGAAAAACAGGATGTAATTCAGCCTATACGTGAGCAGACAGAGACAATTCCAGTAAAACATTAAAAAACAGACTCATGAAAAACAGAAACTAGATCTGGGGTGTCTGAAAGTTCATCTGATTTTGTGGTCAGGAAAGTGTGGTTGCAGCCGTGTGTACAAAGCAGAGTGTACGTGATGCAGCCTAAAAGAAGGTTTTCCATCTACACACAGAGAATATATCTACAGTCATGACTCCATAATCCGACACTAAATGTAAAACCTTCTTTTATGTCAGACTGTCGTGCTTGAAGGGTCATTTATTGTTAATATTTATTGTTTACAGTTGTTATAATAACTAGTGTATTGTTGGAACACTGCGTATCGCTGGATTTCACGCCTAACTTACTGGTGTGCTTGTGCACGTTCCGGTCACTTCCACCTTGTTGGAACGGTCCAACGGGGTGGAAGTGGCCGGAACACACAGGCAGTACTTGACTGCTGATGCTGGTTTAGAATAGCGGTCACACTTCTATTTCCACCATTGGCGGCGGCGGGGGAGTGGCAGATAGGCTCCACCGTTACCATTCATGTTTACTTCCGTAAACACTGAGCGCGCTCGCTGCGTGTGACGTCGTCGTGTTCTCTTCTGTGCATGTGGGACACTTTTGGGTCGTATGAAGATCACACAGCAGATCACATACAAGTCGCATTTAATTGGAAATGTGAACAAACTCGCAAGAAAAATTGGATTTCACAAAAGTATCTGAATTGAGCATTAAGTCCTGCAGTCTGAATCTGTCGGATTGTTCAGTCAGATAATACGTCGTTATCCTTATTTGTGACATAAAATGTTATGTCGGAGTTGGAATCCAAGACTGTCGGTATGTTAAGGCTGTTTTTCATGGGTATTCTGATTGTTAAGGGTCAGATTATCGAGTTATGACTGTACTTTACTTTATTTTTACTTTTTATTTTCCAAATTCCATACTTACATCTGTTTGGCTGTTGATCTGACTAAATGTCCAGTTTGAGGAATTAATGACGTCCCTTAGATTTTAATTTTGCCCTTTCATGAATTAAAAAAAAATACAAAATTCACAACATGAAAAATCAACTGCAGCCATTTATATGTTGCCAAAACTTCAACATGGACCTTAAACGTAGACGTTAGATAAACTGAACACCGTTGACTAAAAAACGACGTGAACTCTGCAAAGTCGTCTAAAAAAGAATCTGTCAGGCAACAAATTATTTTTTAAAAAAATGGCACTTGGAAGCAACATACAAGAAAATGCGTGAATGATGTCATATGTTGATGTTTCAGTTGGACACATCATGTACTTGTGTTGTGCCAGTCATGTGAGTGTACTGTTAAACACTGCTGCTACGTCTGCTGCTGTACAATCAGTTTGCTCTGCTGACTGTGACTTTGATATCGGCTGTGTGACGGCAACAATACAATCATATTTACGGCATAATTCCCTGGTGAAGCTGAGGAATGCAGTCTGTGCTAACTCACCTCCAAGTTCATGTCATATGAAAGCTTCTGCTAATGTCATGTGACTCTGCAAAATCCCAAAGTTTTCAAGTTTGGCCCTCTGAGTTAAAGCCTAAGCCTCACCCACTGCTTTTTTTTTTTTATTTTTTTAACTGAATTGGTTTGAAATTGGAGTCTCCATGTTCTCCTCGTGCAGCGTGGGTTCTCTCTGGTTTCTCCGGCTTCCTCCTACAGTCCAGAAACATGTTGAGGTTAATTGGTGATTCTAAATTGTCCGTAGGTGTGAATGTGAGTGTGCTTGGTTGTCTGTCTCTAAGTGTAGCCCTGTGATAGACTGGTGACCTGTCCAGGGTGTCCCCTGCCTTCACCCTGAGTCAGCTGGGATAGACTCCAGCTCCCCAAGACCCTAGTGAGGATTAAGTGGTGTATAGATAATGGATGGATGGCATGTTTACGGGGCTGACTTGTGATTCTGTTTTTAATTTTCCTTAATGTTAATTATTAGGTTAGAATGGGTGCTGATACTGATTGTATCTAATTTTTAAAATGTTAAATGTTATATTACTCTAGCATTTTTTAATTTCCTCTGAACAAAGTTGCGGCATTGACATAAACTAAAACTGAAAATGTTTTTGAAAAGAATATAGTCACATCACTATAGGAAGTGCTCCATCATCAGCCCTGAAGATCTGTGGCTGTCAGTTTTTATTTAATATAACAGAACTGTTTTACTACACAAAGTAAAAATTTGGTTGCAACAATATGAATGTTCAGAACAAATTTCAAACCAAACCGATATAAAAATAATTGGTGAGGTTTAGAAATGGCTGCAAAATTGTTAAAATATGACTCAAAAAATTTAGAAGTCAAAAATTCATAAAAGCTTTGGGATTTTGCAGCGTAACAGCAGCTTTCACATGAATCTTTTCAAGCAAATTTAAGACAATTTAAGACCAGAAGGGTTTGGCGAGTTGCCACAGAATACCCACAAGTCCACTGTGAGAGGACAAGGTCACCATGGTGACGTACTGGTAGGTCTGTAACCGAATGGACATTTAATTGCAGGAACTCCACCTCCTGTTTGCTCTTTCTGTTTCTATTTATTGAATGTTCTTTATTGTTGAAAACATGTATTTGTCATGTTGATCTGATGATGCCTGACAAACAAATGGATCAGTCGTGTATGCAAACAACTTGTAGAGAGGCATTTATTTCAATCTGTTAATCTACATTGTAATAACTGAGGCTCTCGTCCTGGTAATCGTATTACCGCTGACAGAGTGGGAGTTACAGGTTAAAGGAGTTCAGAGTGAAATGTGGAGCAGGAAGAAAAGAACAGTTCATTCTGTGTACAGTAATTATTAACACATCCTTCAATATATCAACAGTTTACAATGGAAAAATCAAAGGTCTTTAACTAACAGCCTATCTACAAACAGCAGGACACACAATCTTAATGATTTACGGAGCATTAGACAGAAATATTTCAGGGTTATTTAGTGCAGATCATGTTAGTACACATGCACCATCCCGTACAAGAAAGTCCAGAACAGGACGTAAGTGAAAAGACCGCCGACAAGGCCTCCGGTGAAGAGCAGCCGCCGCGACTTAAAGCATTTGTTCCACCGCCGGCCGGCCTTCAGGATGAGCAGCAGCGAGAGGAGAAACGAGGAGAGGAAGTAAAAAATGAAGCCATACAGTCCCGTCAGCCCGAGGATGCCGGCTGTTGCTCCGGACAGGGCGGAGACGGATGTGCGGCAGTAGTCCAGCACGGCTGCGTTCCCCCTCACAGCCACTTCACTGATGAACTGTGGTCCCTCGCGCTTGGCTCCAACTCCTGCCATGTTGGCTCTGGTCAGCTGCCACAGGAAGATGCTGCTGCAACAGGACACATTCAGAGGCATTTACAACACAGACAAGGGACAGCTGCTCAAACGCTGTAAATTCTTCATATGCAAGTCTACTCTTGTCAAATACTACTTTCTTCTACCTGCACATTTATTGAGCAGCTAAAGTGACGTGTTGCTTTGAAGCTTCAGTTTTATGTTCAACTTATGACGAGGTTATAATATGCAATGCCTTGCTATGGGTTAAACTTCATTATCGTGTCCCTCTTCAAAAGGTACATGAGTTACTTGCATATCAGAAATGCAGCTTCAACCAACAGCTTTGATTGTGACGTCAACTCTGAGAAACAAACAGATCGGACATAAATCCAGCTCTATGAGCACGTAGCCATTAGGACTATGTATGGTTTTTTTATGTTAGCCTGTAAGGTGGCTCTTCTGTTGTTGATGGCGATGCTAGAGAGGAGGAGACTGCTTCTCAGCAAGGACACTGACAACAGAAGAACAGATGCTGCTTGTAGTTTCCTCTGAGTTTAACCAATCAGAGATCCACACAGCAGTTTGTTAGGCCTCTCAGGAATACCTAACCTGCAGTAGATGCTTTTATTCCCAGATAACAGCCCTGAAAAAGGTCATACAGGGATTGTTTCTGCTCTCAGAACACACAGAATGGTTTGGGGTGAACTAACAACAACCCACAGCTTCCATCAGTGGAAAACTATTCACTTGCGTCTTCACCTCGTCCCCTCTTTAACTCACTACGTCCTACGCTATATGAGGATTTTGTTGGAATTTAAACTACTTGTTCTGAGTGAAAACTCCAGTGACAAAAATCTCTTATCCCCTAGATTTTATAAAGCCTGAAAATGGGGCCAGAAAGAGCCACTTGAATCACGTTAAAAGGGTACTGTAGAACTTTGGCCCAATGAGCCCTAAAACACACTGCCTACTCCAGCTTTAAAGCTTCTGCTAAACAAAACTACTACTTTAAAAAAATAGATATTGAAAGTAAGTATTGGTAGATGACTTGCAGATGCATGAAGGTCTAAGGTTCGTCTCAATTATTCAAATTAGGTAAGCAGTTGGAAAAAAAGTAAAAAATTAACAGGGGGTACACAGATCAAAACCCTCTTATGTGTCTGTCAGCAACGCTCTGTTAGCTTAGCTGCTGCTCAAACTGAAGCTAATTAGTAGATTTAACGCTTTGCTCGGGTGCTACAAGCTGCCACATGAAACGCCAAAAAGACACAAAAGCAGACTCTCCTCTACCCAGTGGAGCACAGCTGTCAGACTCGTAGACCTCCACGGAGAGCTCAGCTGCTCTATTTTAATGTTCCTGTCCCTGCTGATGCTAACCCGTTAGCATAGCTAGCTTTAGCCGCTGACGGGAGCTGCTGACAGACTCACCGGAGATAAACGTCACTGGTCGTCTCCTCACAGCGCCACTAATAAAACACGACCCGCAGGAGAAACTTCATAAACTCGGATGTTAGGTAGTTTTGAAGGAGTGTCAGCTGCTGGAAGCCCGAAACAGCGCATTCATTCTCGTTCAGATGACACTCCTAGCCCACAGTCAGCCATGCTCCTCCCGCGGTGCATTGTGGGAACATGGGAGTCATCATACGGCAGGCGACGATGTGGTGCGTTTAGGTACACTAAAGAATGGGAAATTACAGCAAACAGAAAGAACGATGACACTTCTGTCGGTGAACGGTTGTCACCCTCTGGAGGCTTTACACTGAAACACGAGCAACAATCCGCCTGGTTTACTGGAGAAACAATTAAAAAAAAATAACTCAACTTTATCTAAAACAGAAACGCTTGATTTAGTTGAGTTAATAGAAAATGTATTCTTTGTCTGGTTAAAAAAAATGCAAAAAACAAATAATAAAACATAAATAATTGCTTCTATTATATTGCAATTAACTTGTTCCAACTCTGGTATTTGTATGACCACACATAAGGTCAGTTAGTGTGTTTGTTTGTAAAGCTTTAAATCAGATAAACGAAAATGCAAATGATCTGTTCTGTTAAATGATCCTGTAGCCTAGTTAAGACTGTATATTAAATACATACACAATACAATTCATATATAGATATACACATACATATAGAGTCCATGGGTAAGCAGCATTTTTATTTTTTATTTTTTGTTTAAATTAACATTTCTGCCTTCATCTGATCAACCACCTCTGAGAACATATTTTCAGGAATGAAACAGGTGAGGCATTGTTTATATTCTTAATTACATGAGTGCTTTAGAGATTGAAATGTAGGCAGTGAGAAATAAAATACATGTTTAGTAATGAGAGAGACATTCAACTGGTGGGTTGGAGGTGGCATTAATATTTTTTTCTCTCAAGTTAGAGGCTGATTTCGTCTTCTTCTTATCATTACTAATAGTAATAGTGTTTTATTTTTATTCATTGGTATTATTATTATTATCATTATTTCGCAGTGGAACTAATCGGTGACGAGTGATTGCATCCAACAGGAAATGAAATATCCGATTCTGTTACTGTAACGTGAACGCAGCAGCAGAGTTGACTTTGCCTTCCTAGGATGATGTCGAGCTGCAAAGTGAGCACACTACAGTGATCAGCAGTCATGTCTAACTTTATCCTGGGCTTAGATGTGGGCACCACCTCTGTGAAGGTGGTTTTATTGGAAACTGGCTCCAGATCTGAAGCTGCGACCCAAACTTTACCCACGAAATGTGATCTAAGCGACAGCAGCGGGATAAAGGTGAGCGCGTTCAGGTGACGCTTTACTTTACGCTCCTGCAGATCAGTGAACTCACCAGTAGTGTGTGTGTGTGTTGTGTGCGTGCAGGCCAAAGAGCAGGACACCGGGCGGATCGTGGACGCGGTGAACCGGTGCCTCGGCCTGCTGCCCGCAGACAAGCTGCAGCGGGTCAGCAGGATCGGTGTGACCGGACAGATGCACGGAGTTTTGTTCTGGAAAGCAAAGAGCGGTGAGATGTGGCTCCGTGCGCGCTGTGACAGTTCATAACGGTTAAGTGTGCAACAGCCGCCCTGTGGTGCATGTGCAGCCCAGTCATATGAGTGGTCTCAAAAGAAATGATCCTAAAGTTAAAGTAAGGCCCCATAACTGGTACCTGGACACATGTTATAGTTTCCATATTATAAGCTTTACCTTGTTTTTAGGATCTATGGTGAAAAATTAAACAACCAGATGAATTTTGACCTGTTTCGAAAGAGTTACTCGGCTCTGTATTTGATATATTTACTATAATCTTAAATAGTGATAGGAGAATAAATACAGTTATGCTCCATATTATTTAGATTAAATGCCAAATTGTGAACCTTAAACAGGTTTCCTCTGGCTGGAAGTAACACCTACTTTAACCCTGTTCAGGACCTTCATGTTGCCATACGTAGAAGGTCTTTTATAGACCTTTATACCATGTTAAATACATTTTCTGATAAGTTGAAGTATTTTTGGTTCCAACTGCGAATGGGCTGCACAGTGGAGCGGTGGTTAGCACCGCTGCCTCACAGCAAGAAGGTCGCTGGTTCGAATAGGCACGCAAGACTTCAGGTGTCAGCCAACCGCTTGAGCGATTTGAATAGTTATTTTAGGATGGATTTAACAAGGATATTAAGTATTGTGGCATTTTGCCAGTCAGTGTTTTATAGATGAACAGAAAGCAATGCCTGGCTCGCCTTCCTGCTGGAGGTGGCCAGCCAGCGTTTTTATTCAGTAAGCAGTGATGAGTGGAATATCTGTCACAGGTAATGAATCTGAGCGCTGAGTGGTAAACAGACTCGAAGGCTTTCAGAGTGGAAACAGAGGCATTTCTGTAGATGACGTCTCCATAATCTAGGACAGACAAGAAGACTGTTTCGATTATTTGCTTTCTACAAAATACAGGAAAAGTGGTTCTGTTTCTGTTAAAATATCCAATTTTTTGTAGCTTGCAGATTAATGTTTTGATATGATTTTTTTTTTGGTCCAGATAGATGCCTAGTTATTTATATTCTGAGACTGTCTCTGGATGTTCTGCCCAGTCAGAGTAGTGATGTTGAAAATGCCTTTAGGGAATCCTCTGGCTCTGGAGAAGAGCATGTCTTTAGTCTTTTTAGCATTGATGAAAAGTTTTAAGTGGAACAGTGCATTTTGAAATTGCTCAAAGGCTTGTTGTAGAGATTGAATGGCCGACTGTGCAGTATTAGAAAAACAGTATAGAATGATGTCATCTGCGTATAGATGGGAAGAACAATTTGTCACGGTGGATGAGATGTTATTGATGTGTGGGATCTGCCGTTCCAACTCATGGGTTTGATGTGTTTAGTTTGGGGCTCCTGGTCAAAAGCTTAGGTGCTGCTGGAGACACACTTCTTTGTTTAGAGAAATATCTCCTTCTATGGTTATGAACCACATGTTCTGTCTTAGCTTTACGTTAACAGCCCCTTTATAAGCCAGTAGTTAAGTTTATTCTGGAGAGTGAGTCTTTTTGGCTTCGAATCCTCAAACAGGAAAACCATGGTGTCTGAGATACTGTACTTGTTTCAAAAAACTTTTTTATATACCAACAAGATGGTATCAGCGGAGAATTTCTTCATCACCTTCACATCATCGCTACTCATTGAACAACAGATGTAAACTGTGAAGAGAACAGGACCCAGAATTGAACCGTGTGGAACTCCTTTCGACAGGGGTAAAAAATTCAGAATGAACATTTCTGAAAGTTCCACACTGTTGGTAATGAGACAGGTGATTGTGGAATCATTTACATGACATATAATCACAACTAATATCATGTTACTTGTGAATTAGCATATTGTGGATGACAGAGTCTAATCCACAAACAGAGCAATGCAGTATTTCCCTTTGTCTACAGCAGATATTGTGTCATTTGTGACCAGTTTTGCTTTAAAACCTGATTGGCGTGGACTTCAAATGGAATTTTTTGAGAGGAATGATTTGAGCTGATCATTAACTAATGACTCCAGGACTTTAGCAAGACAGGATAGTTTGGAGATTGGCCAGTGGTTATTGAGATCATTTTTATCACCTCCTTCATGCAGTGGGATGACATGTGCTGACTTCCAGACCTGAAGGATCGGACCAATCGAGATGGAGAGGTTAAATGAATATGTAATCTATTCAGCAACAACTGGGGCGCAGAGCTTTAAAAAGTATGGATCCAGTTTGTCTTCCCCAGTTCCTTTCCTGGAGTCGAGTGTTTGTAGCGCCTCTCTGACAGCAGAGGGAGTGAAGGCCTGTAGAGTGAACTGGAAGAACAGCTTATAGAGGCCAGATGAGGTGAATGCTCAGTGAAGAGAACTTGGATCTATCACATTGATCTGATTTGAATGAACTGTGATTTAAAATTGAACATTAGTAAGAAAAATATACTGTTGGAGTTCACTTTTAAATAGTATCATTATTTCAGTGTCTAACATGATGATGTCCAGATGGTCTCACAGCCGTCCAGTGTTAATCGTTACTTGTAGATCTGGTCATGTAGCAGAGGGTGCACAGTCCAGACAGGCAACAAGTGCAGTGTTTTCAACATGCCAACATTCATGCACACAATACATATGAGTATAAAGGATATCTACATAAGGCTCAGTATATCTTCAGTTTTAAAATTTAAGCAAAATGCTTTCCTGTCTTGCATGTCATTATTATCATAGATCAGGAAATGTTTTTTTTAAAAAAGTAAATCAGATGCAGATACAGTCTTTAAAAAACGTGTTTTCCTCAGTATGTACAGTCAAGTGTTTGGACAGTTTCTGTTGCTCACACTGAGCAGCTTATGTCCGCCTACTTCCTGGAGAGGATTCTTGACTTGCTGTGGGTTCGTAAAGAGGTTTCTCTTCACCATGCAAATGACTTTCTGCTCATCCAGAAGCCTCGTCCTCTTCAGTCTGTCCGGTCATTTCTCCAGTTTTTCTGTGCTCTTTGTTGATTGTGGCAAAACAACTACCTTTGATTTCGGAATCACTTTTTTGAACCTCTTTATTATCTTTATCTTTATTACTTTTTTACGCCTCATATTGGCAGACAGCTCCACATCGGTTTATTGAACAACTCTGTCGGTCTGAGCCACATGTGAGCTGTTTTGTACACGAACTAACATTAAATCAACACATAAATGCCCAAGAAACATTCAGTGTCCATTTATTTCTGATCCCCTGCAGTTTCTGTAATATGTGTTTCAGGTGCTAGATCTTACACACTGTTTACTTAAACCTACTTCAAATAAAGCTGGGTAATATAATACTATTACATTCTGCATATTTTAAAGTGAATGCGATAAAGTACAACGCCTGAAGAAAGTGCAAACATTTATGATCTAGTGTGTACATGTGCAACTCTTTCTGGGAAAAAACATTCACCACTACACTCAGGGATAAAGGCTTTCAAAAAGAGAACAACTACTTTGGTGACCTCTGCTGGTTGCATCTAAAAAAAGTTTCTTTTAAACCACGTTTGTAATCTGGAATCGAGATATTAAAAACCGTGAAGTCAGATACAGCTCAGTTTGTGTTGCAGTGAACGTCTGCTGTGGAATTAAACGTCTTTTGCCTCTCGCAGGTTGCGACTGGTCCGACAGAGACTTCTTCACGGCCAGAGACACCAGTCAGCTGATCACCTGGCAAGATGGACGCTGCAGCAGCGACTTCTTGTCCTCTCTGCCAAAACCAGACTCACATCTCAGCATGGCTACAGGGTTCGGCTGTGCGACCATCTTCTGGTACATGAAACACAGGTCAGCGTGCGGCTTTTAAGAACCCAGCATAGAGTCTACTGCGCCTCTTGCTTTTGTGATATGACAGCGAGTTCTGCTTTCCCTGCAGACCTGAGTTCCTTGAGGCCTTCACGGCTGCAGGGACCATCCAGGACTATTTGGTGTCCATGCTGTGCGGTTTGGAGGGGTGTGTGATGACGCCTCAGAACGCAGCCAGCTGGGGCTTCTTCAACACTTCATCCAATCAGTGGAATGAAAACATGTATGTAAACTGATTAACGTCACCTTTTTAATAACATTTGCTTTGGTACTTGAAGGATTAAATGCATGACGAATGTTTGTGCATGCTGGATTTGAAACTTAACGCTTTGTCCAGCATCACCGGTGGACATTTTCAGAGCTGTTGTGTATAACCTACGAGCACCACACTACCTTCATACTAACCACTCTGTGTGTGTGCACGCTCCAGTCTGAAGGATGCCGGCTTCCCTTTGCACCTGCTTCCTCGGTGTGTCTCCTCTGGCAGCTTGGCAGGACAGACATGTTCTTCCTGGCATGGCATCCCTGCTGGTACACCAGTAGGCGCCGCCCTGGGAGACTTCCAGTGTTCTGTCTACTCCTGCATGAGTGCACGGACAGACGCAGGTGAAGCATTCAGTCCAGTCCTCTCTCTCTCAGGATCACACTTAATGCACTGAATGCAGCATCTCCTACAGTCTATATAGGTTAAATGCAGGAACCCATTATGGCTCCACTATGTCATATTGCATCCTGAACTAATGGTAGCCAACTCTCTTAAGGCTTAATAACATTCTAGCAGTTTATCAGAGCAGTAATGGAGACATTGCAGCCATTGTAAAATACACAGCAGTAAATATACACGTTTCAGCTTCACACACAGAAAACAAGCCTTTCTGTTGTCCACTCCTGAGCTAAAACTTTGCATCCTTCTCCTTATTTTCTAGTTCTTAACATCAGCACGTCAGCCCAGCTGACCTTCACCATGCCAGCTGACTTCAAACCTCTAGATTCTCCCGATCCTGCCTCCTCCATCGCCTACTTCCCCTACTTTGACTCCTCGTACTTGGCTGTCGCGGCGTCACTCAACGGAGGGAACGTACTGGCCACTTTTGTGGAGATGCTGAAAGCCTGGATGAGAGATCTTGGTATGTACTATTATTGTACTGTGTGCTATTATATTTAGGGTCCGAGCACCCAAAAGGGTGCGAAGACCCTATTGGAACTGCTCGGATT